CTTTCTGTTTTTTTGCTTTTTCTAAAATGGTTAATCCCGTTTATACTTTTAAAATTTTCATACCGTTTCAGAGAAAATTAAAGAAAAAACATAAAAATATGGTTGATTTTTTTAAGTTTCATACCGTTTCAGAAAATTAAAAGAAAAACATAAATAAAGTGTTTTCTTTGCGAAAAAAAAATTCAAAATTCGAAATTTTTTTGAATTCTTTTTTGGAATTTTTTTTTAGTTTTAGTTAAAAACATAATTTCTTGATAATATGGCAACATAGGTATTAGATTAAATTTACAAGAAAGAAAATCCAGAAAAGATCCAGTGGTTCTAAAAATTTTAGCAAAAAATATTTTTTTGGAAATTTTCAAAGTAAAATAACTTTAAACTTTTAACTTGGTCTACCTGCCTGAAAATATTTGCACTTATTTAAGACTCACCCTGTATTGTAAGGGGTAATATAAAGAAGAAAATGAAAATTTTATGATATTTAAAAACCAATGTCATTAGGTATCAGTACCATATTGTTTAAGAGAAGAAAATTGTTTGTTAATTTTACCCCCATTATTTTTCTAATGAATTAATAATAATAGTCATTAAACCTGAACTATAAAAACAATAATTATGGCCATAATTAGTTTAATATTAATTAACTATTATTGGTTTTAAGCTGTTGATTCTGTATTTAACAATAGATAAGTTTTTTTTTATATTTGAGCTATTTTAAAAATTTTTCGTTGGAGCACTCTAATTCTTTGAACTCTATGTTTATTATTGCATAATTCTGAACCTATATCCCGAGGCCAATCGCTATGAAACCGCAAAGAACAAGATCAGCTGACCGGTATCTTTTGTTATTCGTATTGAGGTGCAGTTTAATTTATTTGTCGGCATTTTTCTCATTAGTTATTCCTTTTGTTATTAGTTATGGTAATTACCAATATACCTAATTGTTTATTGAGTAAAATTATGCACTTTTATAAAGCAGTATTATCTATTTCGAATTTAATAGTGCATACTGATTTTTTTCAACTATACCTATTATTATGCTTTTTCAATTTAATTGATGACATAGTTTGTATTTGTAATGACATCAAAAAATTCGAAATAAGTTAAAAATATTTAATTATATTAATCAATAGAGAAACTAAACGATATAGAGTACAAAAACTGAATATGATTTCTTTATCCTTAGTTAAAGAATAAAACAGGTCAATACAAAATAATTGTTCTAATAACCGTAAAAAATAAAGAAAAAAAATCAACCGTAATAATTAATATATTAATTAAACTAATTATAATACAGATAGTGATTTAACTATAAATCATGTACAAAAATGTCGATAACAATTATTGAAAAAAGAACATTAAAAAAAGCTTATTAATCAATGAAATTACTAAATAAATGGAATAAAAACAGATCTTATTATGATTAAAGAAAGAGGTGCTCTGATAAAGAAATCTACTTAAATTAAGCTATTCAATTAGTAATAATAAAATTGTAGATAATTTTTTCTTTATTTAAGTAATACTAAAAAAAGTAGAATAATTACTTTTTACAATTAAAAGTGATCAAAATTAGTTCAAAATTGGAAAGTTGTAAAATATTAGTTTACACAATTTTTGGCTTTTTTAAAATCTAATTCATTTTAGTGAAACCAATATATTTAGCAATGTTGAAGTAATGTTTAACATTGGTTAATAATATTCTTATTTAATATTATTTAATTTTTTATTCAAATAAAAAAAAATATTTACCTGGTTTTGATTAAATCAAAAACATAATATCTAAAGACGATTATTACTCAAAATTAAGAATCAGTCTGCTGCTGTCATAAAAAATATTTAATTTTTTATGAAACAAAAAATAATTATAAAAATTATTTAATTATTATTTTTTTATATTAAATTGTTTTTCCAAATCTAGCCCAATTATTATAATAAAAACAAATTTGTCTATTTTTTTAAATTACTGTTTTTCAAATTTCAGTTTTAAAATGAAAATAAATTATAACATTACTTAAACCATTTGACTAATCGTAATTAGTTTAATTATTAAATATACAGGTGTTCCAATATTACATAGTAGTTCTATGTCTATTGAATATTGGGACAATCGTGTATACTAAAAAAATAGAAATTAAACTAGATATTAACTTGTAATATTTTTGTTAAAGTGATATGAAAAGGTAGATCAACGATTTATACTGGCCTAAAACTATACTGGGTGTATCTCAAAAGTGGCTCACCCCTATAACTTTTTTATTTTTTTCAGATAAAAAACGAGATTTGGTATGTTAGTATATGACATAAATTATGATTGATTGACGTATTCAATTGTTTTTGGTACTTCCTGTTTCACCGGAAATGACTACAACTTTTGATTTTTAAATGGCACCCTCGGTATTTTGTTATTTTATTCGATAGAAAATGACATTCTGAATAGAATGACTTATAATATGTCAACTTTTGACATATTAAAATATGGCTTATTTGAAATTGCAACATACTGTTCATAACGACAATTTGACTCGAAATACCAAGTGTGTGGTGGTACCAAATTATTCGAAAAAAAAAAATGATTTTTTGAAATATGCTAATCAGCTACCCTCATTCCATTTGAAAAAATTGAGATATTATTGAAAATACGATTTGGGCCTCTTTTTTACCCGGCCAGAACAAGGTACTAAAACATTAGACAATCAAATCTATTTTTCCAAGGCTCTTTGATTAAAAATTAGGGTTTTTAACACAGCCATGGCACTCTAGATTGGAATTTAAAATACAATTTTGTTTTAAGTAAAAATGTCGAAAATTGACATATAATTATGTCATTCTATTCATAGTGTCACTTTGTATCGAATAAAGTAACAAAATACCGAGGGTGTCATTTAAAAGGGGTTATTACCCGTGTAACAGGAAGTAACCAAAAACAGTTGAATACGTCAATCAATCCTAATTTATGTCATATATCAAATCTCACTTTTTTATCTAAAAAAATAAAAAAGTTATACAAGTGAGCCACTTTTGAGACGCACCCGGTATGTTTATACAGAGGAGAGTGAAAAAAAACACTATAAAGAAGAAAATCCACAAGGATAGTATTTTCTAAATAAAATTATGTTCTTTAAGTTAATTCTAAATCACAAAATTTGCAAAAATAAAACCGATTCATTTATATAAATATAGATTGAATATTTGAACGAAATATTGATTAATTTTTTAATTTTTATGATTAATAATATTAATCTTATATAGTACTTGATTATAACAAATGTGGAATTTGTAATATTAAACTACTTCATAGATATTTAACTAGATTTCATTATGACAGAAATAATTATTTAAAATTTTAGCGGAATTTTAGATATATAGTTTCAGTATTTTTTTGTCATTTTATTTAAAAATTGTTTCTTTTTTTATTTTCATATATAAGATTTAGTTAATTTTATTATTGCCATTTAATTATGTATTTAAATATCATGAATTCAAAAACTTCCTTGTTATAATAAATTTCTGTCAACATATCTGTCATAAAAACGCTAATTCCACGAAAAATGTTGTAGACCACGAAGGCACAAATTACCTACAAAGGTATTACAGATCTTTGTTACAGATACAAAAAATTAAAATTGGTATACGCTGTATTAAAGATAAATAAAAATATTTAAATATTTATATTATAAATATTACTTATTTTTATCTAAACATATTAAAAAAATAGTTACAGTTTAACTGGGTCACATATTCGTCTCAAAATAATGAAAAAATGATTGATAAAATTGAATAAAATAATTATAAAGAAAAATATTTAAAAAAATAGTAATTATTTAATTGAATTACATATTCTACACGCAACAATAAGAAATAATTAATAAAAATGAATATAAAAAAATAAAAATGAATGATAAGCTCACCGATTTAGATCTAAAAATATTTAAAATATCGTCACTTTAACTGGAGCACATATCCATAATATATTATTCCACTCACAACAACAACAACAACAATTGATATGAACTGGTGCGCTTAGGTCAACGTATTCTGATAAGAGCACGCGATTAACGCGTAGGCACGCCAACAATAAAATTGTTATTAACTGTTCGATTTACGAACAGCCACTACAAAATATTGCTATATCGATAATTATTTCTGTTTGTCCCCTAAATTAAGGATTAGCTTCCCCTCCCTTGCGTTGGAGCGCGGCTGAATGTGGAGATTGCTTTCGATCGGTGGTCTCGCGCTTGTTCCGTTCTGCGGTACGGATATGGCACCGGGTAAAAGCTTACTTGTGCAGTACTAGTCTAGTTAGAACGTTTATTTAAACTATATAATAGTGATAAGTTTTTATCTCTCTAGCCATTTTTGGTCTATCGTTGGACATAGGTCAAAATGGCGCTGGTGTGATAAGTTTATAAAAGAAAAATAACTAAATATGGCAATATGCACTTCTAGTTATTACACGTGTGGATTGACACTCTAAATCGCTGTCATTTTTAGACAGATTTCACTTGTCTTGTCATCATTCAATGCATTATTCAAATGCTCAGAATGAAAAAACTTTCATCTTAAAATAAAATTTTAATCAATCACAATTGTTTATCTCCATCATTTACCGGATTAATAATACAGAAATTACAGCTCAATTACAAATAATAATTAGTAATAGATAAAATAGTAATTTTATTAAATTATACGAATATTCTCGTTGTTATTGGTTTGAATTACATATGACAGTCACCCAGTGTTGCCACAAGCTTATTTTTTATCGGGGTAGATTATCACAAGATAGCGGATTGGGGATGCTTCTTAAACCGCCCAAGCTGTCAGAGTATACGAATATGTCAGAATATACGAATATGTCAAATATAACTTCTATACCATAGGAGCTATATTCTGACATATTCATCAGCGATTTTTTTTATATCGGCTGTTACCTATATTTTCATAAGCAAATATTCTTCAGACCTTCTAGGCTTCGGCTTGTAATCACAATTTCATAAGGGTACAGCATCAGTAATATCGCTTGTATCATCAGACATTCTATCAGTTTCGTTTTCTTCGAAGCAAGGTTACTTAATATGCAGTGGCGTATCCAAGAAACTTTATATAAAACGCAAACCAATAAATAAAATATTTATTATTTAAAGTCACTTACTTTTGTATTTTTTGTAAGGACTTCAATATCTTCTAAGATCCACAAAACCAAATAATTTTCTTGTGAAATCTTACTAGAAGCCTGTGGGTCTATTAACAGGGCATTGTAAGCATAGGCATCTAAAACTAATGCGCTTGTCGGACGAAGCCATGTGCAGGTTCTTCAATCTGATGAAGAAACGGAACAACACATTTTAGGTCGGTGCGACAGCCTGGCAAATGTGCGGCTCTCGGTAATAGGCAATGATAGGCCACTGACAGAGAGCTATATGGAGGGTTCAGTCTTCAAGTTGCTAGATTTTGTGAAAAGGATAGACTGGAGAATGTAACCTAAGACTCAAAAGAGGACCACAATAGGTCCGAAAATGTCGCAAATTAATGTAACTGACATTAATTTTTCGATTAAGCGCGTTAATTCATTGGTTCGGTTGCAGAGCTCTTAAGAGCCGTAACGGTTTAACAAAGTAAGGCATTTAAACAACACTTTATCATCAAAGTTGATCTTTTTCCTTAGTTTATATGTGATTAAACACTTATTTGAAGAGAGAGCATCTATTAGTTATATAAAATAACGAAAATTTATTGATTTATTCGTATAAAAGTACTGTATTTATAAATCAGCCGCTGGTAACCCGTCCATTATTACTGGAAGAGGAAACGCCGCGAGCCTTTCAAGTTTTTGGGTCAACATTCAAGTTAAAGTCACGGAGGAGAGTGAGCTTCGATCAAAAGGTTAAACACAGAATCGAAAGTGTTTCCCGCAAGTCATGTGCGTATAAATACCATTCAGTATCGAATCATGTGTTGCAATTGCCTGCGAATTTGGTTTTATTAACACGTGAGAACAGTTGTGTAGATACAGAGTGGTCAAATAGCTTTAAATTAGAGTTAATTTAACATGAATAAATTCAGGATTCAAGATAATTTTGCATTTAGTTAAATAGATAATACTCTTTCAAAAATAGAACAAAAATAATAACTTTATTTAGCTAATTGTTATGAATAAAGACAGATACACAGATACAGTTTTTCCTCAAGGCAAAACTGGGCAGTGGAAGCTTTGTTATTTTCTTTAAATGCCGATGGCCAACATACGGACTGAAATTATATGTCAGTTCATTACTCACATAGGTATACAGGGTGTCCCAGGATGAGCGTGCATTAGAAGTTTCTAGAGAACTACAATATTTAGATCGGAGATTTTTTGCACATGATAGTATGATGAGATCTATCAATTAAAAATATTTTCAATATGGCGGCACTTTCGGAAATACCGGAAGTTGATGTCAACTTTCTTATTTTAAATGGGTACCTTAATTTTTTATTACATACTTAAATGCTCTGTAAAATTTTACGAATTTTGATATCAAACAGTCTATACCTAACATTTTTGAAAAAAAAAAAAATTTAAAATTTTTGGCGAAAAAAACTGCCTGTCAAAAAAACTTGTATAGTCTAAACGTCAAATTTAGTGATTACCACAGTTGCTGGGACATAAAGAGAAGACATGTGGCTATTTATTTCAAAAACTAAATTGTTTGAATGTCATATAATATTGGCCGTAGCTGTCATGGAACTGTGAGTATCCATTTAAAAAAGGAAGTTGTAGCCAACTTCCGGTATTTCTGAAAGTGTCACCATATTGAAAATATTTTTAAATGATATATCTCATTGTGAAACAATGGTGTGCAAAAAAACATCCGACCTAGATATTGTAGTTCTCTCGAAACTTCTAATGCACGCTTAGCCTGGGACACCCTGTATAACAACAGCGTATAGCAACGATGACGCTTTAGTGATAATTCATTTGCATCAATTGTATACTTAAGTTTGCTTTACTTAGTATTGTAAACAGGGTGACAATTTGAAAACGAACAGTATTTAATATTGCCTCCACCGATGATAGTATGAAAATTTGGCGAAATACGTCAATTTACATATCAAGGGGGACAATTTTTGAGGCATTTGTTGTCGTGTTACTTTCAACCCCTTGACCCCCAGGGCACCTACCCCTAAAATTTTAAATAGCAACCCCTATTTCTTTTACCATTTTTGTGTTTCTTATAGAATTCTACATAAACTGCATTATTTTTTGAGAATTTTATAAGGAACACAAAAATGGTAAAAGAAATAGGGGTTGCCATTTAAAATTTTAGGGGTAGGTGCCCTGGGGTTCAAAGGGTTGAAAGTAACACGACAACAAATGCCTCAAAAATTGTCCTCCTTGATAAGAAAAAACTGTATGTATTTTCAAATATTATATTATAACAATTATTATAAAAAAATTAAATCTTATATTTACTGTATCAAATTTCAATAGTCAAGTCAATATCAGTTCAGATAATATAAACATTTCTACAATTTCGACAATAGGCAAGAAATGATAAAACTGGTAAACCAAAGTAACTACAAGAAACAACGGTTCAGGTTTCACTGTCTTATAGGATTACAATGTTGACGTCACCTGAGACTAGTTTTTCGCTACGCCATTGCTATAAACAATTATATATCTTTGCAAATAGCCTTATTTAGCTACTCAATCGAAACTATGCACCAAGAATAACCTTCGCAACTGCGGCTTGGTAACTGCTTGCTTATTGACCCAAATGGTTTTTGCAATCGGCGATAGTTTCAAAGAAAAACTCCAAAAGTTCGAAACGAATTCGAGTAAAATAACTTATCACTAAATTTGGAGGTCTGACGATTTTATTTTTATTATTACAGAACAAAGGCAATTATTTAAACATTTATTGATCGTTAATAAACGTTTTTTTTTCTATAAATTAAATTAAACTGTTTTTATTAAAACGCGGAAAAAGTTAATTCTAAATAAATTAACATTAAATTATCGATATTTTAAACAGTTTACAAATTTTAATGTTTTCAAGTTTAGAATTTTCCAAATATTAGTATTAATAAAACCCTGTACAGATTAGATTGGATAATAATTATGTCGGAAATATAACCATATTAGCGTATGAGCAATAAGAAGGATGGAAGAGCGAAACGCTTGCCCAGCAGTTAAAAGACCATACCATAACTTGGTATACTGATGCTTCCAAAACCAATACGGGAACAGGGATCGGAGTGTTTGCGCCGAGAGCTAATTACTCCGAACCAATGGGCACTTACCCTAGTATCCTACAGGCAGAAATCTACGCTATCGAGAGATGCGTACAACTTATCTTAGATAGGAACTATCGGAAACAAGAAATAGCCATCTTATCTGATAGTCAAGCAGCGTTAAAGGCGATCAACTCAGTATCAATCGATTTGAAATTGGTCAAAGAATGCATAGAGAAGCTGAATAAATTAGGCAAAGAAAACAAAGTCCTCCTACACTGGGTGCCTGCTCACCAAGGGATAGAAGGCAATGAAAAAGCAAATAATCTAGCTAGGAAAGGAGCGAACACTCCACTAACTGGACCAGAACCGTTCTGCTTTCCAAGTGGTAACCAACTCAAGGCGGAACTCAAGAATTTGGAAGATTCCATCCGCAACCTGGAATGGAAATCTTGCAATGGTCTAAGACACTCGAAGAAGTTTCTGAGGGCTTATGATCAAGAAAATTCACAGATCTTCCTGGGTCTGAGTAAGAATAATCTTCGGATTGTCACGGGGTTTTAACAGGACACTGTCTCATCAATGAACACCTCAGTAGATTGAAACTAAGAAGAAACGGCGAATGCAGATTCTGTGGGGAAGATGGTGAAACACCAGTACACCTCATCACTGAGTGCGCCGAGACGACAACCATTCGTGCCATGAATTTTGGTACGACTGATATTGGAGATGAAGAACTACCCTCTATAAAACCGTCCCAGATACTGGCTTTTGTCAAAGCCCTGGGACTGTATGATGAGTTATGATTCAAGAAAGGGGGACACAATGGATCTGTAAGGTCGAAGTGATTAACCCCCCTCCCACTCATTCTAAAATTCTAAAATTCTAATAACCATATTAGATTCTTCTAAGAACAATAGCTAAAATAACACACTAAATGTTGTCTGCCATTTTTAACAATAATTATAACTTAATGAAGCATTGCATTGGCTTGAATAAAAATATGATAATCAAATATATGCTTGTAGATGTTAAAACATTTATTTCAAAATCTTTTATATTTCAAGCAAGTTTCTAATTGACTGTATTTATTGCCTAATGGATTAGTTTATTTAAATAATGTAAAATATAATGCAAATGTTGGTTTTGCCATTGCGTTTAGCAAGCTTGCATATTAAAAAAAGAAAAACCATTATAAAAACCTTGCACAATATCTATGATAGTATGAATATTAAAAGAACTTTTTTGTACCTACATCTAGTTTTAGAAAGTTTTTTTTGATATAGGTATACCTAATTTATGGTAAAAATGTCATATGCCAATTAATATTGCTTTTGAAATATACTTTGTCGAAATAGACCTTTTCATAAACATATGAGGTGATATATTGGTAAATTATTTTTTCTAGTATTTCTTTTATTGTATTTATTTTAATTTTTTAATAATTTTGTTTTTTGTTAACTCTTTTGCCTGTTGAATATTGTCTACCGGGTGCGTCTCAAAAGTGGCTCACCCCTATAACATTTTTATTTTTTCAGATAAAGAAACGAGATTTGGTATGTTAGTATTTGACATAAATTAGGATTGATTGACGCATTTAATTGTTTTTGTTTATTTCCTGTTGCACAGGAAATGACTATATATATATATATATATATATATATATATATATATATATATATATATATATATATATATATATAACTTTTGATTTTTAAATGGCACCCTCGGTATTTTTTTAACTTTATTCATAGAAACTGACACTCTGAATAGAATGACTTATAAAACGAACTTATAAAAATTATGTATTGCGAAGGGTACT